GGGTCAAACGCAACTCGGAAAACTCTGCACAAAGCCAAGTTACCTTCCAGATTCTCCCATCTCTCCACAATCCAAAGTGGAAGCAACTCAATGATTCCAAATACCAGCGTCAAGTCTCCAGCTCTGTCCCTATCAGGAACCTTGGAGAAGGCATTTAACCAAAGCAGGGCCTTGGGGCTATTCATGAGAGAAAGGTACCACCTGCGAGCTGGTTTCGTGTATTCCCAGTGGAGTATTACAAGAGAAATAGCGATGCCCTTCGCACATGACAGCACCCTCCGCACTCCGCAGGGCTGAACGAATAAAAACGTGGTCTCTGGGGTCGGCCGGCGTGGGCTCAGCCTCTGCCCTGGATCTTCGCGCTCAAAAAACATCCAACCAACCGCCTAGAAGGCCCCGGGTTCCCAGCTGAACCCCGTGCCCCGGGCCTGAAAACATGCTGGGTGGAAAAAGAAAATCCACCGCAGCGACCTGACCCCGACTTGCCCGCAAACACTTCCTCCAACGCCCTGCAACTTTTTAGAAGGATCCACGCGAAAGCTGGTAACGGTAGGTTAAAAGGAAAGGCTACTCCTGATCCCCAACAACAGACACCATGGGCCCTTCCCTCATAGCACAGTTTTTAGTCTTTACTCAAGAGACATCACCTTTCCTCTGGTGCTGTGTGTCCCCAAACCGGAAAAAATAAAAAAATAAAAAAAAATGCCGGTGAGCACAGCGTGCAAGGCGGAATGCAAGCACTACATGTCCCAGAGGACATCACGGCCAAGTCGGACGAATAGACGACGCTTACGCGTTTGGAGGAATTATGGGAATTGTAGTTCCTCTTTGAAAGAGACTCTGGCAGCACATCCTAAAATATGATGAAGTGTTGCAGGCCATTTAGGTCACTGTTTCTCAGCTATCTGTGGTTTTGTCTCGGTCACGGAAGACTGACATATTTATAATATAAAATAAAAATTAATGTTTAGAAAAATAAAATTTGAAAACGTAAGCATGGAAAAGACACGTGTGGAATTTTGTTTCTTACTACTGCATAGGGATGAAACTGAGAATGACCTGTGACAATGCCCTTTAATCAAAGAACACCAAGAATACACCTACAGAATCCAGCAAAGTTATCATTCAGAATTGAAGGGCAGATAAAGAGCTTCACAGATAAGAAAAAGTTAAAGGAGTTCATCACCACCAAACCAGTTATTATATGAAATGCTGAAAGGTATTTTTTAAAGAAGAGGAAGAAGATCAAGTGAATTAAAAAATATGAGGAACAGAATAAACTGGTGAATATAATAGAATCAGGGGCAAAGAAAGGGAGTGGATTGATAATTATCAAGGGGTGTGGGAGTTGCAGGAAGAGACTGGATTAAAATCGTACACCTATGGATGAGGACAGTGGGTGGGGAGGGAGCTATGAGGGGGGAAAAGGAGAAATAATTGTAATAATCTGAGCAATAAAGATTAAAAAAATAAAAATAAATTAAAAAGAATACTCCTACAGTTAAACAAATATGACTGGTTACCATGAAGCAGAACACACCCCAGGGGATGTTAAATTAAGGTGTTAAGAGAAACTTATTCTAGTTTTTAGACTTGTATTAAGTGATTTGGGGGAGACCTAAGAGGAGCCTTTCTCTACATTTGATGCTGTGAGGAAGCAAGGGTAAATATTTTTTATTGTGGGTTTTTAAAAAATATATATTTTATTGATTTTTTAAAATATATTTTATTGATTTTTGTACAGAGAGGAAGGGAGAGAGAGAGAGAGTTAAAAACATCAATGAGAGTCATCGATCAACCACCTCTTGCACACCCCCTACTGGGGATATGCCCGCAACCAAGGTACATGCTCTTGACTGGAATCGAACCCAGGACCCTTCAGTCCCCAAGCCGATGCTCTATCCATTGAACCAAACCGGTTTCGGCATATTTTATTGATTTTTTACAGAGAGGAAGGGAGAGGGAGAGAGAGTTGGAAACATCAATCAGCTGCCTCCTGCACAACCCCTACTGGGGATGTGCCCGCATCCAAGGTACATGCCCTTGACCAGAATCCAATCTGGGACCCTTAGGTCCGCAGGCCAATGCTCTATCCGCTGAGCCAAACCAATTAGGGCTATTGTGTTTCTTATTTTTGTTTCTTTTTAAACAAAGGATCCATTTTAAATATATTTTTATTGATTTCAGAGAGGAAGGGAGAGGGAGAGAGAGAGATAAAAACATCAATGATGAGAGAAAATCATTGATCAACTGCCTCCTTAACTTTTGGGGATCGAACCCAAAACCCGGGCATGTGCCCTTGACCGGAATCAAACCTGGAACCCTTCAGTGCACAGGCCGATGCTCCATCCACTGAGCCAAACCAGGGCTGATTTTTATTTTTTAATCCTCACCCGAGGCTATTTTCCCCATTGATTTTTAGAAAGATTTAATCATTTTGCTTTCTCCCACCAATGGATTTCTTGTAACCCTCTTACCTCACCTCCTTTGATTCTAATATATAAAACTAGATTGGGGTGTGAAGAGAGCAGAGCACCTGAAGAATGGCTCCTCTCTGTATAACACATCCAACAGCAACTTGGGCTTACTACTCACCGGTGGCAGGATGCTATGACCTTCCTGTGACATTACACCCTATACATAAACAAACAAACAAACAAACTAGAAGCCTGGTGCATGAATTTGTGCATGGGGGGCTGGCAGGGGGAAGGGACCATGGGCAGTTGGCTGGCTGGCCCTGCCCCTGATGGGATGGGGTGGGGCGATTGGGGGCAGGGCTGGCTGGGCAGAGGGGCCATGAGTGGTTGGATGGCTGCCCCTGCCCCCACCCCCAATCAGGGTGTTGGGTGCCAATCAGGGACAGAGCCAGCTGGATGGAGAGCTGATTGGGGCCCAGATCAGGCTAGTTGGCTGCCACAGTGTATGTCATAGCCACCAGTCATTCTGGTTGTTCCGCCATTGCGGTTGCTGGGCTTTTATAAATATAAACTGCAAAATTCTCTGAAGCATATTCTAAATTTGTTGAGATTTTGCTCCCCAGCATTTGTTGTCAGTTTGGCTCAAATGAACTCATAAGAATTCTCTAGTTGTAGATGTTTCTTACATTGACAATATATGTGTATTTCTCTTGGAATATGGTATATGTAGAACAAGAATAGTAATGTTTCCTTTGTATACTTCAACATGCTAATTATGGTATGATGATCTGTAACATTTCTTCAAAAATGTTTCTGACTGAATGGATGAGAAAGAGGAAGAATACATTAATGTAAGAGTAATGTCATTTACACATTACCTCTACCATTAAGTAGAAGTCTAAGAAACTAATCTATATATCATACCTAAATAAAAATATATTCTGATTAAAGCTGAATAAACAATAATCAAACAAACTAATATTGAAGAAAATCCATTTTAATAGTGCTTAATATAAATCAGATTTTTTAAGGTCTTGCAGAATTGCCCTCCTCATTGCAAAGTGTAAATCATACAACCATTTAACTGTACAAAGAGGAGTATGCTGTTTCTCCCTTGCAATAAAGGCAATCAATAGCTTAAGAAATTGTCCTGTTTTACAAGACCCTTACATGTACCACATGTCTAACTACTGTTGATAATTAATTCATAGCCCATAAATGTGTAAAATTTAAATAACTTAAGTTCTTCATTTTTATTGTTTATGACTTACATTCTTTGTACACAATAATAAAACCTAAGTTTCCTTAGCTAGTTCCTTTAAAACTTGCCCACATCCCCACAAGGACTGTCCCAGCACCCTTCCTCCCAAATAGTAGTGGGCATTTATTTCTAAGATAATCTAGGGACTCTTACTTCTTAAAATAATAACAGTATATGCCCTACTTCCCCTACAGAGCATGTATTTGGAGTCAAAGACTAGTTATGGTATTTAGAAACTGTGTTTAAAAGGAGCCACTTAATCTCCCTGTGCCTAAATTTCTTTATCTGCAAAACAATAATAATAACCTATACCACGGGGTATTGTGAAAATATAAAAAAAACAGCATCAATGACTTTGTAATTTTCCTTTTTCCTCAAATAGCACTAAAAACAAAACAAAACAAAAAAACCTTGTGTTATAGCATTAACTAGAAGCAGAACTGGAAGCTTCTTTCTTTAAAAAAATCCTCATCTATGTTTTTTATTTTTTAAGTATACTTCCATTGATTCAGAGAGGAAGAGATAGAAACATCAATGATGAGAATCATTGATCCATGGGCTGCCTCCAGCATGCTCCCAACTGGGAATCAAGCCTGCAACCGGGGACCCTTCAGTCCGCAATCATCAGCTCTGTCCACTGAGCCAAACCAGCTAGGGCTTTCTTCCTTTTCAGAGAGAGAAACATGGATGCGAGAGATACACAAAACATCCATGGGTTGCGCCCCAACTGGGGATCCAACCCACCATTTAGGTATGTGTCCTGACCTGGAATAGAACCCGCTACCTTTTTGGCGTAGGTAGGGACAACGCTCCAAGATAACCAGACTGGCTGGGAGCATCTCAAAGGTAGGCCTTTCTTTTTAATAAAGAAGAACAAATAAGTGTTTTCTCAATGAAGCACTTCACCTCGCGAATTAGAAGGCCTCCTTACCGTTACAAACAGTCCCCATCAACTAGACTGCCTATCCACGAGGTATTTCACAAGCCCCAATATCCCAGAACTCAAGGCAGGCCGGGGTGACCCAATCCCGGGAACGCCAGGACCTCCGGTCGCCCGGCGCGTGACGCACTTCCGGCGCGCCGCTTCCCCTCCACACCGGGACTGGGCGGTGGGGGAGGGAGGCGGGTAGTGGGCTTTAGCGCCTTTTCTGGCGGCGGTAGATTTGAAGCGCTCGGAAGGACCGGGCCTGGGAGGAGGAAGAGGAGACCGTGCGGGTGCAGGTGAGTGGCCTAGAGCCCGTGCTGATTGCGCGGCGGCGGCGGCGGCGGCGTCCTTTGCAGCCGACCCGGGGCCCGAGAGCGGGAAGGGCCCGGGGAGAGGGGCGGAGCCGGCCCCACAGGCCCTGCCGACTTAACCGTCTTCCCTGGGAGGTCTCGGGGCTGCCGGGTTCCGGAGGGGGGACCCCCGCGGGCCGTGGCGCCGGCTCTGCAGGCGCTGGACCTGGAGCGGGCTTCCCGCCGCGTCACCCGGGCCCGGGACGCGGCCCTCCCCCTGCAGCCTCCGCCCTCTCCTCGCGGCGCACGCCTCCCTCCCTGACGCATTTTGCCGCACAAGCTGTAATATGGCGGCCGCGACGGCGGCCTGAAGTCCGGGGAGCCGGGCTGGTTTTTTGATGCTTCCGAATTGTAAGACTAAACACGAATGTGGGTAGGTTAGAAGCGTTGGCGGGGCCGGGGGGGCGGGGGGGGGGCGCTGTAACCGGACATCCTGTCAGGTTAAAAGTTGGAGAGGAGCGGGCGGGGAGCCAGGATCACAGGGGTTCAGAGTAGGTGGAAGACGGCCTTTCCTCCTGCGACCTTTTTTCCCACCTCGTAGAGACAGCGTCTGTCGCGACCAGTTAGGTGGCCCAGGCCACTTGGTTAAGCATTCTCCGAGCACTGACATCCGGGCTCTTCCGCTCTCATCCCGGAGCTGTCTCCAAGTTCTCCCCCGGCCCGTGGGCAACGCAGGCCTTTTTGGAAGAGAATCCCTGTAGGGGGAAGGTGACGGCTTCTGAGCTCCATATGCCTTTGCGGGGGGGAAGTGTGTGTGTGTTTGGCTCCTCTTAAAGGAGCTAAATCCAGGTCTGCGGGAACGGAGAATTCCCAGTCGTTTGGAAAATGTTTATAAAACGCACCATTTTGTGCAACAATTTCTTCTCCTAACAGCACTTTCTGTGCAGGACCAAGTTTTTGCAATAATCACACATACTTCCGAGGAATGATTAAATGTTTTTGGAAATTTGGGGGTACGTTAACTTTCATTAGCTTAAACCAGAGAGGGAGACTATGTGTATGTATGTATTTTCATTTGGCAAAGAATGGCCAGTAATTTACCGGTCCTGAAGGATGGTTGGAGGGGAGTGGTGGACATTTTTATAACATGTCTTAAAGAGTTCACTTTACATTGTTTAATGTTTTCTTTATGATTCAGTATTATTGGTGCACTGGGATCGTCGGGGTCTTTTTTGTAGGATTCTGTGCTTTTTTATTTTTTGAATTGTGTTTGCTTTTTACGTGTTGTGGGGGTTTGTTTTTTTTTTTGGTAGTTGCAGGCTGTTGTCAGGGTCGCCTTCCTCTGTTGTCAGGAGTGTACAAGTTTGCAGACTTCATAGGTTAGAAAATACTGATTTGTTTCTGGCTCAGCCATTTTTTCTTTCTTTCTTAATTTTAGAGAGAAAGGAAGGGAGAGACAGAAACATTAGTTTGTTCCACTTGTTTGTGCGTTCATTGGTTGATTCTTGTATGTGCCCTGACGGGGAAGTGAAGCCACTAGGCTATCCTGAGGACACTCAACCGACTGAGCTTTCCAGCTAGGGCCGACTAAACCATCTTTCTGAACCTCGGTTTCTTCATCTATAAAACGATATTTTTTTATTTTAGACTATCATGAAGCTGGACTTCAAAAATAAATATTCAGGTTTGTTAAAATTCTGTGTAAAATTGGCTTTGAGTATGAACTTGGTAGTTCTTGTACCAGTGAAGTGAAGAGCATACATTGCATTTCTCGGGACTGATTAAAGGCCTTAGTTTTTGGTGTTTTCAATTGTGATCTTGCACTCACTATCCATGGCCTCGAAGTAAGGTCTTTGTCCTTTTGTATATTTTAAATTAGATTTTTCTGTCAGGCAGTGTTCATTCTTTAATTAAAGGGAAATTGGTAGCCATTCATAATAGTGAACTATTATGGCTACCAATGAACTAGTTCTGTTAGCTATCAGGACTCCCTCTGCAATTCTTTCAATGTTGCTATTTTAAAGAAATACGTGTTGAGGTTTTTCCTTATTATTTTACTAATAGGGTATTTCAAAAGAATTATAATGTATTATCTGTTTTTAGTATTCTGATGTACTAAGATGTTTTACTTGATTATTGACTCAAATGATTGAAGAGTTTGTTGCATATCCTGCTACTATGTCACATGGCATTTACCTCTCACCCCTGGGCTTTAATTTTAGTACCAAGTTTCAGTTCTCATTTGATTTACATGTCAATGGTTTTGCCATTGTTTAATGCATATTTGGTCCTAGTAAGAACTCAATGTGTTTTATTTCTGCAGGGCAAATCTTGCATCTTGAAATTTGCTACAAGCAAGTATAATGAATACTCAATAAAACTGTTGTACTTTTAGTGCAGACAAGAAATCTGCTCTTTTAGTTTGAGTGGTGGCTTAAAATAAGCAGCAATCTTCTGAAATAGAATTAAATCATACTTATAACGGTAGATATCAATTTTTTATATTAAATTTTTTTTAACTTGGGCTATTTATTTTTTAACATATTTTTTAATTGATTTCAGAGAAGAAGGGAGATGTAAAGAGAGAAACATCAATGATGAGAGAATCATTAATTGGCTGCCTCTTGCATGCCCCCTACTGGGGATCGAGCCCGAACCCCGGGCATGTGCCCTTTACTGGAATGGAACCAGAACCCTTCAGTCTGCAGGCCAATGCAGAAATATATGTTCAAAACTAAACAAAAAACAACAACAGTAAAGGCCAATGCTTTATCCACTGAGCCAAACCAGTTAGGGTTAATTGTTTTTTAAGAGAAAGCAGAAGTGGGGGAGGTAGGGACAGAGAGAAACATTGATGTGAGAGAAATACATCAATTGGTTGCTTCCTGCACATGTCTGACCAGGACCAGGGATCGAGCCTACAACTGAGGTACGCGCCCTTGACCAGAATCGAACCTGGCACCCTTCAGTTGTGGGCTGACATTCTCACTACTGAGAAAAACTGACTAGAGCCAAGGCACTGGTTTTTAATAGAAGAGTCCAGCCCTGACTGTTTTGGCTCAGTGGATAGAGCATTAGCCTTCGGACTGAGGGGTTCCAGGTTCGATTCTGGTCAAGGGCATATACCTTGGTTGTGGGTACATCCCCAGTGGGGTATGTGCAGGAGGCAGCTGATTGATGTTTCTAACTCTATCCTTCTCCCTTCCTTTCTGTGGAAAGTTAGTAAAATATATTTAAAAAAAAAAGGCTAGTTCTAGTTATCCCTTGATTAACTATTATAGTATTCTTTTTATTTGATATTGTAGTGCTAGGCCAGTCATTGCTTTGAATATATTTAGGTTCTCAGTTCAAGGACTTTACAGAGCAGTTTACGATAAAATAAGTAAGATTCAACTGAAGGGTCACTTAAGCTTTTAAGAGTCAGGGTGAAACTCCCAGAGTGTACTCTGGCTATGCAGAATATTTAAGGGCACTTGGAATTAACCAAGGGACTCAGAAAGGGCAAAAACCTGCTGATCATCTTGATATTAACAGTTTAAAAAGATTTACTATCTATTTTTTTAAGATTCAGTAATATACTGATTCCCTTACACTGTGTGAATAATTCTTTGAATATAATGAAGTCACTGTATTTTTATTGCCTAATTATAAATACCTTGTCCTTTACCATATATTTTAATAATTAGTTGCCCATATGCTTCTTCCCCTCCCACCCCCATCCTTTATGTTACTTTTGGGTGAATATGGAAATTATTTTACGAATGAACTTATAAGATTTAAATTTTTATATATGACTTGTTACCTCTGATATTTTTATGAAATATGCATATTTGTTGGTAGAACTTTATAATCCTAGCACTTATATTTTAAAATATTATAACATGTCTATTCACATACAAAAGTAATTCATACTTTTGATAAACATTTAAATCAACATGTTATTCTCTCTACTTAGAAAAAAGTAGAAGTATATATGAAAAATATTAAAAGTTACAGCTTGCTCCATCGGTGTGACTTGGTAGTTGACTGTTGACCCATGAACCAGGAGGTCACAGCTTGATTCCCAGTCAGGGCACATGCCTGGGTTGTGGGGTCAATCCTTGGTGTGGGGCATGCAGGAGACAGTTGATCAATGATTCTACCTCATCATTGATGTGTCTATCTCTCCCTCTTCCTCTCTGAAATCAATGAACATACATATATTAAAAATAAAGATGAAATTACTATAAAAAATAAGATAGCTAAAAGCCAGAATTTTATAGTTTGTCTGATTTTTTTTGTAATCTTATTAACTTTATTATCCTATTTTAAAGTATTTTTATTGAATAAGGTAGATGAAATTAAATATCAAGTTCAGATTTCTGAAGGGGTAGGGCAGGTGAGGTGAGTGCATGAGGTCAAGTACATAATAAATGGTAACAGCTTCCAATAGTGGAAACTAGGTCAAACTGAAGCTTATATCTCATCTAATGAGGGGGACTTGTGATTGCTATACAGGAATGAGGCTAGGAATGATTATTTTTTATATTGATTTTATAGAAATAGCTGTAACTCATTTAAATTAAATTTGCAGCAAATAGAACATCTATGGACTGCTTAACTAAACGATTTCATTATTCACCATTCTTAGGAAATTCATCTATTTTACTGAAAATTGCATAGGCTTGATTTTTCCCTGAATTATTTTCTCTTTACTTTTTCTTGAGAAAAAAAAGAAAAGAAAAATTGACCAGATGTTTGTCTTGTGTTTGGTTTTGTATATTATTTGAGTAGTATCAGGAGTTCATAGAAGAAATAAGGTCCTATTTCTGACTAGATAAAATCTAGTTTAAATAATGTTAGGGATATAGTGTTGTCATCTATTGTGTCACCATTGTTCTTCATTAGCTTTAAATATTGGAACATTTATGTTCTCAAGATTTGTGTAGTGCTTTTAATGATAATTTGCTATCTTGCGTCTTTCTTGAATTAAGGCATATTTATCATTTTTTAATCTATATCTATGAAAAGTATCCTTATGTGGCATAACCTAAATATAATAGCCCTCCTATATGTGTACATTCTATATATTCTTCGGAGGTTATATATATTGTACATTTTCTTTTTTATTATTCACTTTTTCTTTATAATAGCAATTGTGTTTATTAAAAGTAGAAAAGAAGCACAGTGAGACAAAAATCTGTCTCCAGTCTTACAATCAAACAAGTGATTTTCAATTTTTTTCATCTCATGACACACATAAACTTATTACTAAAATTCTTTGGCACACCAAACATGATTTTTGCCTATCTGAAAAAAAAATATTGTTATAATTTTTATTTATTTACACTAGGTGGCTGTTGTATTGGATGTTGTCATTTTTTTATTTGACAATCCAAGAGAAAAGGAAGTTAGTTTCTGTGACTAAATAGTCAGGTCTTGCATGTTTTATTTATTTATTTATTTTTAAAATATATTTTATTGATTTTGTACAGAGAGGAAGGGAGAGATAGAGAGTTAGAAACATTGATCACCTGCCTCCTGCACACCCCCTACTGGGGATATGCCCGCAACCAAGGTACATGCTCTTGACCGGAATCGAACCCGGGACCTTTCAGTCCCCAAGCCAACGCTCTATCCATTGAGCCAAACCGCTCTTGGCTTGCTCTTGCATGTTTTAAACATTTTTTGCAATACCCAGTGTACCTCTTGTTGCACACTAGTTGAAAATTGCTGAAACAGTAATGATTATTTCCTTCCCATCATTTCCTTTTCTTTTTCTTTTTTTTAAATATATTTTATTGATTTTTTTACAGAGAGGAAGGGAGAGGGATAGAGTTAGAAACATCGATCACCTGCCTCCTGCACACCCCCTACTGGAGATGTGCCCACAACCAAGGTACATGCCTTGACCGGAATCGAATCTAGGACCCTTCAGTCCACAGGCTGACGCTCTATCCACTGAGCCAAACCATTTAGGGTTCATCTTTTTCTTTTTGTAAATCTTTGCCTTGATGGGACAGGAGTAGTGTATGTAATTATAATTACCGTATTTTTCGGACCATAAGACGCACCAGTTTTTAGAGAAGGGAAATGAAGAAAAAAAGATTCTGAAACAAATAGTGTCCTAAAATATTTTATGTGCATTAAAACCCAACATCACAGTCATAAACACATGTAATCAAGCCTGTAAAGTAAACAGCAGCATTTAGAACCATTTTAGAGCCGGGCAAGCACACATACCACACAGAGCCCGGCAAGTAAAAAAACTTTTTTTTTAAAGTATATGTGTAGGCTATATTTGGACCATAAGACGCAGGGACTTTTTCCCCCCACTTCTGGGGGGGGAAAAAGTGCGTCTTATGGTCCGAAAAATACGGTATGTTACATATACTGTTATGTTGATTATTTTTAACAAATTATAAGCACTTTCTAAATTATTAATTTTTATAAGCATTGCTTTAATAATATATTGTGTTTATCCAGAGACTATAGTTTAACCAATTTTCATAAAATTTAATAGTTCTGATTACATGTTACTAAAATGAGCACTAAGATGACCAGCTTTATACATGAAGGCTTTCTAAATTTAGGGTAGTTCCATACAGTAGATTCTTAGTAGTTGAATTTTACTGGTTTATGGTATAAACCAGTTTAAAGCATAAAACCTTAAGAGTTTTGCATTTTGTTTCCAGAAGAGTGGATACTGTATTGGGAATTACTCTTTAAAAATCTCTGTAATCACAGGGCCATTGTGAGTCAGGGTTGTGTGTACCATGTACCAGGAGGTCACCGTTCGGTTCCCTGTCAGTACTCAATCCTTGTGCGGGGCATGCCAATCAATAATTCTCTCATTATTGATGTTTCTGATTTTTTGTGTCTACACTAGCATATTAATGCTATTGTTTTTAAAATATATATTATTGATTTTTTTACAGAGAAGAAGGGAGAGGGAGAGAGATTTAGAAACATCAATGAGAGAGAAACATCGATCAGCTGCCTCCTGCACACCCCTACTGGGGATGTGCCAGCAACCAAGGTACATACCCTTGACCGCAATCAAACCTGGGACCCTTGAGTCTGCAGGCCAACGCTCTATCCACTGAGCCAAACTAGCTAGGGCAATAAATGCTATTGTTCATCATTAGAACATATCATAAGTAAAACTTAATGTGCTTTTACTCAAAATATAAATGAACCATTTATTACTGTTGTTAAATTATCCCCCTTTCTTCCTTGATGATTTATTTTTGTATTGCTTTGTTTTTTTAAAGATTTGCATGTTTTCTTATAAAACCACCATTTTAATCAAAACTCTCCTTTTGTTTTCCAGGGCTGAAAGGATTGGATCATTTTGTCCTTGATTTTTCTCTATTTAAAGGTAATTTGGTTTTTAGTCATACACACTTAATACAGTTTTCTGTTTGGGGTTGCAATCTATATTTGGTTGTTAAAATAGAAATTATCTATGCACATAAAGGCTATTATGCAAAGTGTCCCCTCAGGAGTTCAACAGGGAGAATAGCAGTTCACTTTCTCACTATGATATGTGCTGACCATCAGGGCAGTGCAGGACATAGCGGGTGGCCAGCAGCAGCTGCAGGGTGCTGAGGGAGCAAGGGAAGGAAGAGGCAGGGAGGCAGGGGGAACTGCATGGTGGTGTGATGCCGGTGGCGAGGGAAGGAGAAGGTGGGATCAGGAAACCTGATCCGCCCTGATTGCCAGGCCTAGGGTCCCTCCTAATGCATGAATTTCATACACTGAGCCTTTCGTATTGTATAATGGCTAAGCCTTTTCTTTCTCTTTTTTTATGTTTCTATTGATCTTTAGAGAGAGAGAAAGAGAACCATTAATTGATTGCCTCCTGTATGCACCCTGACAGGGAATCCAACTGAAGACCCTTCTGTGCATGGGAGGATGCTCCAACTGAGCCACATTGTCCAGGGCTAAGCCTTTTCCCCCCGTCTTTTCTGTGTGCCTCAAAAAATGCAATCTATCTCTAAAAGAAAAGAATCTTTATGTTTTATGCCACAGAAGTATCAAAATAAATATCAAACTACATTTCTAGTTTATGCTCCACGAAACATTTTTTACAGACATTTATGAAGAAATCTTTGTCTGAAAACTGTATTTTACTCATAGATTGAAATATTGGAGCCATGGGAATAAAGGTTCAACGTCCACGATGTTTTTTTGACATCGCTATTAATAATCAACCAGGTAAGAAGATTAATGTTCTTATTTAACATTTATAAATGAGTATTTAATATTTTAAATTAGTAAGAAAGTTTAAGCCAACTCCTTTTGTTCTTTTTTTCTTTTTTAAGCTGGAAGAGTTGTCTTTGAATTATTTTCTGATGTGTGTCCCAAAACATGCGAGAACTTTCGTTGTCTTTGTACAGGTTTGTGGATATTTTCAATTTCTCTAACAGTAGTCGTATTTTTTATTTAAACAAATTTTAAAAGATTTCTTTATGCATATTACTTTTTATTCTTAACATGCAGTAATAAATGGTTGAATGAGTGAAAATTCAATAGTTTAAAAAATATATATTATTTATTTTACAGGGTGAAAGCTTTCATAATTAATTATGCTTTAATACTACTTCCTTGATATTCTTTCTATTAAATGGCCTACTAATTTTATTTTTTTATAGGTGAAAAGGGAACAGGGAAATCAACTCAGAAACCATTGCATTATAAGAGCTGTCTCTTTCACAGAGTTGTCAAAGATTTTATGGTTCAGGGTGGTGACTTCAGTGAAGGTAAGACTTTGATTCACAAAAAAATTATATATTCCTTGTTAAATATCATAGATCTCAAATCTTCAATTTTATTTATTTGCCCTATCAATTAGAAGTACTCATAGAAATAAGTTGACAGAAGGAAGCACAGGAAATAATTTCACCTTTGAAGTATATATTAATTTTAGAAATTTGCTTCTTGATAAAAAACAAAATACTGTATTTCTCCATTAGTAACCTATTTGTGTATGTGTTTGATTTCCTCACAGCTGGTAATCCTTACCTACCATATAGTTTCTACCTTTATTTTTTATTATAAAAACATCAAGATTCTATTTTAAAGACACTTTCAAAATGGTCAGTAATTTCTGTTGAAAAACCTACATAATCATCATTAGAATTGACCAGCATGTGTGTGTGGCCCTTATCTTAATAGGTTTTGTCATATTCTTAATATTGTATCGTAAGGGAAAGAAAGTAATTTGGGATCTTGTCAGTATTAACTACATACAATTTGCTATGTACCTTTGAGTAGTATTGAAAGTCATTTAAGCACTAATTTTCTAAGAAGCATTTTGTTTAGGTAGCACCTTCAAAGAGATTACTATTTTGAGAATTCTAAGAATCCATGTTTTTCATCCCTAGGAAATGGACGAGGAGGGGAATCTATTTATGGAGGATTTTTTGAAGGTAAAAATGTTTATTTTTATTTTAAATTGTGTTTTTAATGGTTTCTATTCACTTGATTTTCTCTATTAAATCAATAAGATTATTTACTAGTAAAAAGAGTATACTGTACTGGTATCCATCTACCTCCAACTATTCTGGAGGTAATTTTTGTTGTTAGGTAAATTTTCTTGTGAAAAAATTTTTTTTTCTTTTTCAAAAATATATTTTATTGATTTTTTACAGAGAGGAAGAGAGAGGGATAGAGAGTTAGAAACATCGATGAGAGAGACATCGATCAGCCGCTTCCTGCACACCCACCACTGGGGATGTGCCCACAACTAAGGTACATGCCCCTGACCGGAATCAAACCCGAGACCTTTCAGTCTGCAGGCTGACACTCTATCCACTTAGCCAAACCGGTTTTGGCTCTCGTGAAAAATTTTATAAAATATGCCGTGGCCAGTGTAGCTCAGTTGGTTGGGCGTTGTACCGTGCACCAAAAGGTTGCTAGTTCAATTCCTACTCAGGGCACAAAGCCCAGGTTGCAGGTTCTACCCCCAGTAGGTAGCTTGCAGGAGGCAGCAATTAATGTTCTGCTCTCACATTGATGTGTCTCTTTCTCCCTCTTCTTACCTCTCTAAAAATCAATAAAAAAATATTTTTTTAAAAATCATAGACTTTTTATAGAGATAGAATTTTTGTTTTTGGTATAGGACATACATCATATTATTTGAAGGATTTAAGTGATCTGTAATTAAAAAAAAGCATAATATGCTAATTAGATCGGATAGCCAAATGACCTTCTGGATGTCCTTCCAGAGGAAGCTGCAGTGACAGGGGCCAAGGCAAGAGGCAGTTAGGGGCGGGCAGGCAAGCAGCCAGAGTGGTTAGGGGTGGTGAGGCAGGCAGAGTAGTTAGGGGTGATCAGGTAGGCAGGCAGGCGAGCGGTTAGGAGCCAGCAGTCCCAGATTGTAAGGGATGTCCGAGCCTAATATGCTAGTGCCTACCCCTCATTTGACTATTGGACCATTCATTATGACGTGCACTGACAACCAGGGGGCAGACACTCCTACCTGTAGGTTAGCTTGTTGCTGGGGTCCAGCCAATGAGGACTGGGTGATATAGCTGGACATGCCTTGGAGCCCTTCCGCCATCCCTCCGCAGCCCAGATCTGCACCAGTGGGGTCCCTCAGCCTGGCCTGCAGGAATCAGGCTGAAAATGGCTCTCTGACATCCCCCGAAGGGTCCCAGATTACGAGAGGGTGCAGGCCAGGCCAAGAGACCACATCAGTGTGCGAATTCATGCACTGGGCCTCTACAGTTGAATAAAAGTGGCAAGAGTGGTCATCCTTATCTCATTCTGATCTTAAGGGAAAGCTTTCAGCTTTTTACCATTCAGTATCCCATAGCTGTAGGTTTGTCACAAATGGCCTTTATTATATTTAGGCATATTCTCTCTGTACTCACTTTGTTGAGAGTCTTTACTATAAATGGATATTGAATGATCTTTAACCGTTATTAAAGGTGATTCAGTAGTATTTCCTAGTAACAATATCCAAATTTTGGGTCAATTTTTCTGTGAAAAATTTTTAAATTCTCCGTGATATTCCAAAATTTAGCTATAATGTTTTTCCCAGATTTCAATTTCCTCGCTAGAATTTTTTATTGATGTGCAGATCATTTGATAGACATGAACATGTGAATGGGGAAATATGTCTTGTTATCCATCTTTCACCTTTGGTATTCAGTGAATTTTGTTTCAAATTTCACTTGCTTAGTTTTCATTCTAATGCAAGATTGGAAGGCAAACTGCTCTTTGCACTAAGTGATGCTGTGGCAGAGATTAAGTTAAAGAGTACCTCTTTATGGTCAGAATTACTCAGAAGTAAAATAAATACTATGGCTTTGGCAGCACAGATACTAAATTGGAATGATACAGAGAAGATTATGCACAAGGATAATGCACAAATTTTTTCTTAATATATTTTTATTGATTTTGTACAGAGAGGAAGGGAGAGAGATAGAGAGTTAGAAACATCGATGAGAGAGAGTCATCGATCAGCCGCCTCTTGCACACCCCCTACTGGGGATATGCCCGCAACCAAGGTACATGCCCTTGACCGGAATCGAACCTGGGACCCTTCAGTCCCCAAGCCGAAGCTCTATCCATTGTGCATCGGCAATAATGCACAAATTTGTGAAGCATTCCTTATTTTCAGTTCTTAAAGGGGAACAATATAAAAAAATTCTATCTGGATTCTTTTCTTGTTTTTTAGGAAAGTTTTGTTTTTTTGTTTAAACAAAGAAATTTGCCCTTTCCAAAAAAAAAACCATAAAGGACAAATGTAAGTGGAAAGAAAGGGGATTGATGGAATAATTGGAGTTCTAGCAAGGGATTGAAAATTAGAAATATATTAATATAAAAAGATGTAGAGCCCCAACTGGGTGGCTTGATTGATTGGAGTGTGGTCCCATACACAAAAAGCTTATGGGTTCTAATCCTGATTAAGGCATGTGTCTGCGTTGTTGGTTCCATCTTCGGTCAGGGAGCACAAACATACAGGAGACCACTGATCAATATTTCTGTCTCATCATGTTTCTCTGCACCTTCCTCTCTAAAATCAATAAACATATCCTGTGGTGAGGTTTTAAAAAAAGAACTTTAAAAAGATGGGGAAGGATCTCTCTCTAAAAAGATGGGGAAGGAAATTGCTTAATATTTGATTCTTCTTTTAATCTGACTTTTATCTAAATTTTGCTGGTACTAAGGAGCACATGTCATGGACGTAAGACATGAAGAGGAGTGGGAATAATTTTGGAGGTAATTTTTAAGTAATGTAACTGAAAACTTTGCTTCTCTGTAGATGAGAGTTTTGCTGTTAAACACAACAAAGAATTTCTCTTGTCAATGGCCAACAGAGGGAAGGATACAAATGGTTCTCAGTTTTTCATGTAAGTACTTATGATCTGATAGCTGAAAATATTTCTCATGGTATGTCTTTTTTTGTGTGCCTGCCCTTGATCCCTAATAAATAGAGGAGGGCCCCGTAAGGGGTGGGCATTTTTAAAGAAGGGACAACAAGGAATTGTTGAAGAAGGGAATATTATTGAAAGGGGAGTTGAATTATACTACTAAAGTTTTCAAATGATTGAAAATTTGTCAAGAAGATAGGAGCCAATTTGAGGGGGTGGTGTTTCCACTGGCCATTATAGGACAATTTGACAATCAAAAAGTGTTGGATTATCAAATAAAACAAATCTAGGAGTCCATAGATATAAAAATGAGTAAATAATGGGAAACACAAAGGCTGTTCTTTAGTAGAATATTAACTCATTAATGTAAAAGGAATGATGCAGTAGAAAAGTCACTATATTTACAGTCATCTCAGTAATAATTAAGAAGTTATTTTTAGGTGGTAGATTTAGTGGGCATATATATTTTTTAAAACTATATTTTTTCATTTTAAATAAATAATCATTTCAGGCAAGAAGGAAGAGGGAGTGAAGGAGGAGGGAGGGAGAGAGGAGGGGAAGGAGGGAGGGAAACATCAGTGATGAGAGATAATCATCGATCAGCTCCTGTACGCCCACACTGGGGATTGAGGCCCCAACCAGGGCATGTGCCCTGACCAGGAATCGAACTGTGACCTCCTGGTTTATGGTTAACGCTCAACCACTGAGCCATGCTGGCTCATCTAGAGGGCATGTTTAACAATGAATAGGATATTTCCAGAGTATCTCTCCATAAATTACATAATTACAAAAAGTAAAATAAAATCAGTCCTCATTAAGATTCTGTATATGTGAATTTGCCTACTCATTAAATATGTTTGTAACCCCAAAGCTAATACTGCTGATGTTTTGTAATTCTGACTATAAAAAAATTGTGACCCAGAACTCTTGTTAGTAACGTATTTTTTATCATGTCTTATGGGAACAGATTTGCTCTCCCTTTCAAGAGCCTTAAATTCGCCTGCTCTGAGAATAACTTAAGTCCATCAGCACCATGTGTATTCTAGTGTTTTTCCATTCCATATTTGTAGCTCTTCTTCAACAGTGAAACACTTGGCTTCTATTTATCTTTAAAATTTCTACTCGATGAATCCTTAAAAAAAATGGTTGTCCCGTGCACCAAAAGGTTGCTTGTTTAATATCCAGTCAGGGCACATGCCCTAGTTGAGGAAGCCTATCAATGTTTAGTTCTCTCACATTAATGCTTCTCTTTCTTTCCCTGCCTTTCTCTAAAAATCAATTTTAAAAGTCTTTTTAAAAAAGTTAAACATAAATTCCCATATGACCCAGCAGTTCTGACTCCGAGGTATGTAGCCAAAAGAACTAAAAACGGGGACTCGTGGAAAGAGGTAAAATGAAATGAACACTTAGAGGAAAGATTCAGTGAATATACTTGAAAGATATTATAAACTTAACAGAGATTTTGGTTAGCATAGAAGAATTTTATCTAAAAAAGGAAAAATCAATTATCATACCCAGTGTTAAGGATCTCATAAAATTGGTACTTACTGCTGATACTAAACTATACATTTTTTTTGGAATTCAATGCAGCAGTATACAAAGAAAAAATTAAAAATATGTAAAACAGCCCTAACTGTTTTGGCTCAGTGAATAGAGTGATTCTGGTCAAGGGCATAGTTGCAGGCACATCCCCAGTCGGAGGTGTGCAGGAGGCAGCTGATCAATGTTTCTCTCATCGATGTTTCTAACTCTATTCATCTCCCTTTCTCTCCATTAAAAAAAAAAAAAAAGTGTATAACAACTCAGCCAGAGTTGCTCAGTGGTTGAGCATGGACCATAAACCAGGTCAAGGTTCAATTCCAGTTCAGGACATATATATATATATAATTAACATATATAATTAACACACACATATATATGTGTTAATTATATATAGCACTGTACATTTAAACAATAGATTAATATATAACTATTGATTTTCCTTTTTTAGATAAAATTCTTCTATGCTAACCAAAATCTCTGTTAGGTTCATAACATCTTTCAAGTATATTCACTGAATCTTCCCTCCAAGTATTGAATTCATTTTACCTCTTTCCACGAGTCCCCGTTTTTAGTTCTTTTGGCTACATTCCTCGGAGTCAGAACTGCTGGGTCGTATGGGAATTTACGTTTAACTTTTTTAAAATTGATTTTTAGAGAAAGGCAGGGAAAGAAAGAGAAGCATTGATGTGAGAGAACTAAACATTGATAGGCTTCCTCAACTTGGGCATGTGCCCTGACTGGATATTAAACAAGCCCCACCAGCCAGAGCACTTTTAGCTTTTTGAGAAGCCATCAGAATGTTTTTCACAGTGGTTACATCATTTTATGTTTCTACCAGCCCTGTTATAAGAGTTCCCATTTTTCCATATTTCTCATTAACAACCTTTTTCACCAATCTGAGAATGGCCATGAAAATAACTATGAAATTGCTTTAGGGATTACAAAAAAAAAAAAAAAATCTAGTGAGCAAGTAAATTTGCAAATATGAAATCTATGGAGTGAGGATTAACTATATCTTGATGTATCACATGTGTCAAACACAAGGCCCTCGGGCCAAATCCGTCCCGCCAGGCCTTGCAATGTGGCCCGCACTGCGCTGTCATCACTGCACTCCGCTGCGTTTCTATCACAATGACAGTTTATGACTGTTCAGTAAACCATTCGGCCCGCGATTTAGGCTGGATTTTAGATTTTGGCCCCTTCTCTGATTGAGTTCGACACCCCTAATGTAGATTATGCACGTACACATACCTGCACATTGAATGTAACATAATGCATACAAATTATACACCTAGGTTTTTACATTTCTAAGTGCTTTTAGCAAGTTCAAGTAAGCACAGCTATTTAACAGTGAGGAAACAATGGGTTATTAGTTTTAAAAGTAAGGTGTACTTTTAAAAATAAATGCATATGTTAGAATTTTAGTAGTAGTGTATGTGCTTTAACCAATGGTTAACTTTTTTTCAAATATATTTTTATTGATTTCAGAGAGGAAGGGGGAGGGAGGGAGAGATAGAAACATCAATGATGAGAAAGAATCATTGATCTGCTGCCCTCTACATGCCCCCTACTGGGAATCGAGCCCACTACCTGGGCATGTGCCCTTGACTGGAATCTAACCTGGGCCCTTCAGTCCATAGGCCAATGCTCTATCCACTGAGCCAAACCAGCTAGGATGAACTATTAGTTAACTTAAATGGTATTTCTACTTCCAAAATTCTAATGTCTTTTTTGATAAGATTTTAAAAAAAATAATTAATCTTATATAATGCCCATCTAGTATGTCCTACTAGCTACTCAAGTAGCAGCCTTAACCACAATGCTTTTAAGGCTAATGTGGAAAAAGAAAGGGTTTTAATTTTTTTTTTTTTTTTTTCATTAAAAAAAAAATTTCTTTCTTGGGGTTTTATCCAAAGTTTTAATTAAGATCTCTCTTCAACATGAAATTTACTTTATGACAGGGGTAACAAACTCAAAAAACTACAGATCTTAAGAAATAATATAAGTAAAGACTACTGGGACAAGAAACCGAACTATTAATTCCTGTGTTAAAGAAGGCAGGGATTCTCGGTCTGGCCAACTATTCCCATGTGTCGGGTCCTACATCTTCCCAGTTTTCAGAAGGTCTAAAATCTAGATTTTTATGTAAAAGCATCTAAAATTTTAAACTTTGACAGGTAATTTAACAATTTATGAGCATTATACGTTTCTGTTCAGGTTCAACAGGAAATGTGTGAGAGCCATCAGAATATGATCTATGATTTAACTATTTAAAATATTAAGATTAAAAATATTATTGTTGCCAAAACCGGTTTGGCTCAGTGGATAGAGCGTTGGCCAGGGGACTGAAGGATCCAGGGTTCGATTCCGGTCAGGGGCATGTGCCTTGGTTGCGGGCACGTCCCTGGTAGGGGGTGTGCTGTGATGGTTCTCTCTCATCGATGTTTCTAGCTCTCTGTCCCTCTCTTTTCCTCTCTGTAAAAAAATCAATAAAATATATATTTTTTAAAAATACTATTGTTAAATCATTAACTAGTGGAATGGTTTGACAAATTTTGGTATATCCATATAGTGGAACAATATACAACCATGAATATTCAGTAAGAATCCAATCACATGCAAAAAACATAGATGGATAGAAATAACACCAAAATGTTAACTTTAAATATATGTAATGTTAACTTTAAATACATGTAAGTTGAGAAGGATAACATAGACTAAGAAACTTTAAGGGAATAAATTATTTCCTCTTCATGTACTGCTTAGATTCAGAAGTATCTGGCATGTTTGAAAAACTTTTATTTAGTCCAGCAATGTGTAGGCATTACTTTTATAATCAGAAAAAGTTTTTGAAAATTCATTATGTGTAAAGCATATGGCATTCTATTCTACTTAAGGTTAATGTAATAAGTATTATGTTAAGATGTATGATTTGTTTGTACAACTTTGTTTCCAATGCAGTTATTTTCTTTTCCTTTATAGAGATGCTAACTTTGTTTTTCTCTGACTTTGTTTTTATTCTTCTGTCTGATGATTTTCAAAAGAACAACAAAACCAACTCCTCATTTAGATGGGTAAATATTTTAATTAATTTTAAAACCTACTTTAAATTAATATTAAAATAAGAAGCTTTTATTTAATCACTTTTATGTGACTCTTTAGGCATCATGTTGTTTTTGGGCAAGTGATTTCTGGTCAAGAAGTTGTGAGGGAAATAGAAAATCAGAAAACAGATGCAGCTAGCAAACCATTTGCTGAGGTGCGGATACTCAGTTGTGGAGAGCTAATTCCCAAATCTAAAGGTAAGAACAAGTACATATTTCTGATAATTCTTATGCATACAAAACAGCAGACACTCTAAATGGTTGGCATAAGATTCACATTAAAGTGGATATAAATAATTGAATTTTGTGTTTCAAATATATTTTTGATTTTTAAATGTCATTTTTAAAAAACGTTTTATTTCATACATTGTTCGTTTACCACAGAACAACTTTTTCTTATTATTAATTTGCAGTAATTTGTCCTGCTTCCACTTTTTTTTGGTGGGGGAGGAGAGTTTTAAAAAAACTTAGTTGCCTAGGTAGCATGAAAAATAATTATTTTCTAAGGAAAGAAAGAGTAGAAAAAAGATGACAATTGAGGAGAATAATATAGACTAAGAAACTTTAGGAGAATAAATTATTCCCCTTCATGTACTGCTTAGATTCAGGAGTATCTGGCATGTTTGAAAAACTTCTTTTATTTAGTCCAGGACAATTAAAATTACCATGACTAATAGTTTGATATATTATCTGAAATTGTAAGAACTTTAAGTAAATATTTTAAGTCTTTATATTACATATCAAATATGTAACTGCTACCATTTATTACAGATGATTGAGTCTGACACTCTAAAAATAGTGGAATTACCTTCAAATTTGTATAGAAAGCGATAAAATGTTGAACTATTTTTACTAGTCTAGGGACCAATTACATCAATACTTAGTTTTTCATGGTTAACAAAGGCAAGAATCACCTATAATCTTTACTGATCTTCATAAAAGTCCTATAATATTTCCCCTATTTTACAGATGAAGATGTATTTACCACATCAGGGAACTATGCCTCAAACCCAAGTTAGTTTGCAGGCTCCAAATCTAGAACTCTTTCTGTTATGTCACTAAGTCATTAGTCTTTAACGTTCCTTTCAGAATTGACTTAATAGAACATTCTGTTCTCAAGTTTTAGGTATACTGAGTTCCTCTGTAACATTTAGAAATAGCACATTTTGCCTTGCTGGCATGGCTCAGTAGTTGAGCATTGACCTATGAACCAGGAAATCAAGGTTCAGTTCCTGGTCAGTTTACATGCTCAGGTTGTGGCTTTGGTCCCCAGTGAGGGGCATGCAGGAGGCAGCTGATCAGTGATTCTCATTATTGATGAGTATCTCAATATCTCTCCCTCTCTCTCTCTCTCTCTCTCTCTCTCTCTCTCTCTCTCCCTCTCTCTCTCTTTTCCTCTCTCTTTTTCTCCCTCTCCCCCCCCCCTCTGAAATCAACATATCTATAAAAGGAATACGCACAATTTGATTTATTTCCTGTCTCTGCGCTTAATTTTGATTCTGATAGATTCCTTTTCTTTTTTGTCATATCAGATATATACCTCATAAACCATTTCAGGAATATATGCTGCAGCTCATAATGGGACTGTATATATACTTCTTGGTGTTCATGAGTCTGACTACCTATCTTTATTTGCAAACAACAGGTATAATGCATGCCTTGTGTTCATAAAGATTCCCTAAAGAATGAGGTGTTAACATAGCCCACTTGGCATGGCTCAATGATTGAGTGTAACCAGGAAGTCACTATTCAATTCCCAATCAGGATAGGTGCCTGGGTTGTGGGCTTGATCCCCAATGTGGGGCATGCAAGAGGCAGCCAATCAATGATTCTCATAATTGATGTTTCTATCTCTCCCACTCCCTTTTTCTCTGAATTCAATAAAAGTAGGGGGGGGGGGGGGAAATGAGGTGTTGCCCTGGCTTGTGTGGCTCAGTTGGCTAGAACATCATCCCATGCACTGAAGGGTTGAGGGCACATACCCAGGTTGTGGGTTCAGTCCTGGTTGGGGTGTGTCCAGGAGGCAACCCGTTGATGTATCTCGCTCACATTGATGTTTTTCTCTCTAAAATCAATGAAAAGCATATTCTTGAGTAAGGATTAAAATAAAAGAATAGTTGTTGAGTATCTTTAAAAAATTTTTAAACTTTTAATTATAGCTGACATACAATTACTATATGAGTTTTCGGAATACAGCATGGTGATTAGACATTTACATACCTTATATATTGTTTAAAAAGAAAAAACTAATAAGCCATCTGTATTATTTGCAAATTTTAGACCCTAAACCTACTTATATTTAATCCTTGAGTGTCACCTGTACAATTGGAATATTTTGGTTTTAAAATATTATTTTTCCCCATATCATCTAGGAAATCTTCATCTTTTTTTCTATAGGAACTATAGTTTTTTTTTTCTTCTTACATTTTGTAGTCTTTAAGGTCTCTGTGCCAGGATCTATTTTTTGCTTATAATAGTTAAGAATGTATGGAATATTTAGAGATTAAAATAATTTTTAAAAAGTTACATTTTAAATCATATTATCATAGATTCTCTTGTAACTGTTATCACAGTTTTTGTGGGGGTTTTTGGGTATTAAAGGATCAGTGTTTGAATATTTGCTGAAAGGAAGAGAAAGTGAATGAATGTCACTCTTTAGATATTATTTGTGCTCTTGTAATGTCTTTTCACCTGGAGAGATAAATGCTAATTTTGCCATGTTGTTATGGCCAGGAAGTTGTACTGAAAGTTGATGTAGCATCTTAGTGTGTGTTCCTCACCTTCATGTTAAGGTAGCAAACTTTGCCCTTACCGGCTTCAGCAGTTGGTGAAGATTAATGTCTCCTCATAGTTCCTGGAGAGGTTAGATTTGTTTCCAACCATGCCTGCGCTATTCTGGATAACACTGTAGAAAGAGGAAAATATCATTATGTTTGATCGCACAGTTTGGCACAAGTTAGTCTACAGTCCTTCAGTTACCATTTAGAACATTGGTCAGAATGGATTTTGTCATGCATCTATATAATCTTTGTTTTAGGCAGAGCTGTGTCTTACATTCAATTTATAAATTTCATGGCCTCCTTACAATTTTAAATTGTGAATATTCAAAAAGCTTTGTGTAACACTGTGGTGTTCACCATCATTACATTTAAAACCTTGTTTGAGAGATTTATACCCCAGTTTAAAAAGAAATAAATACAGAATCTTTTTTTTTTCTTTTTCTAACTTCATGAAAGAAAACAAAAAGACTTCTGAAGAAATCTGACTGTCTGGGCCCACCTGTAAATGGTCTTGGTGAGTCTGGGCAATCTTCTGGGGCCTTTCTCCCTTTGCTGTTGCAAGATTGGAAATTCTGCTTTTGTGGCTATTTGAATGTGCTTGAGAAGGTTCAGAGTCAGAGAAGATTCTGAGTCAGAAGAACCTTCAACAGAAACTAGAGACTAATAAAAAGTACATCCCTGTTGAGGCTTTCAGAGGGCATAGAACACAGAACTCCAGAAAATGAAACTACTACCTTAATGATTAAGGTATTTTCTGTGGTTTTTTTTTTTGGACCTGGCATGACCTCAGGTTATACTGGTCTTTTCAGAGTTCACTTCAATTATTGTTAAAAGAGGCCTGTACACCATGGCCATGCATCAAGAGACAGAGTCATTGCTACATTACAGAGTACAACAAAACACAAGTTTGAATTATGGCAACATTGCAATAAATAGTTATATTTTTTTGAAATTTTGAAATTTTGCATATATGTGGCAGGAAGCACATTGCATATATGTGGCAGTACAGAAAGAATACAGTACAGGAAGCAGCTGGGGAATCTTGTATTGAGGGGACAGTGGAGAACACCAGAGAGACTATGGTGACAGGGTTCCATTTCGGTGTCCTTACCCAGGAATTAAGAGCTGTGATGATGTCTTTTAGTGGGATGTTAAATTTAGAAATGTTTGAAAGAGGAGACAATAATGTGGAATAAAAATAACTGAAGGAGACCTATTTTATGGATAGTTTTCTTTATTTCAAAATTTATTTTGATGATGGTCTAGACTAGAGATTTTCATCAACATAAAGATTTCATTTGAGGTTCATTGTGTCTATAGATCTCAAATAAACATGAAAGGTATAATTTTCTGTCTTTTTTTCTTTATTGCATTTATTGTGGTTACCTTAGTAAATTAAATTATGTAGCTTCAGGCAACATTTTTTTACCTTAGGTTTTTACAAGTAAAATGTTCTGGGATTTGGTTGTTGTTAGTGAAGTCAATACCTATGTCTTAAGGATATTTATTCTTGTAAAAGATACTTTGAAATCGATTTTGTGCAAGTCGTTAGGCAGGAGGTAGGGTTTTTTGGAGGAAACAGTTGTCATACTTGAAAGTTTAATATTTTCTATTTTTAGCCTGGCCTAGTAGTTGGTTGGAGCATTGTCCTGTACACCAAAAAGGTTACAGGTTTCCCCAGCCAGCATGGCTCAATAGTTGAGTGTCTTGACCTATGAACCAAGAAATCACAGTTTGATTCCAGGTCAGGGCACATGCCTGGGTTGTGGGCCCCCAGTGGAGGGCGTGGAGGAGGCAGCTGATCAGTGATTCTCATCATTGGTGTTTCTCTTTTTCCCTCTTTCTTCCTCTCTTAAATCAATACAAATAAATATATATATATCTTTTTATATATATCTCTCTCGATATATATATATATATTTTTTTTTTTAATTTATTTTTTTTTTTTAGAGAAGTTTAAAAAAAAGGAGGGGGGGGTTCAAGGTTCGATTCCTAGTCAAGGCACATACCTAGGTTGAAGGTTTGTCAGGAGGTAACTGATTGGTGTTTCTCTCTCCCTTCCTTTCTCTCTTTAAAAAACATAAACATATCCTTGGTTGAGGCAAAAATAAATTCTACTTTTAAATTTAATACAATTATTTGGTTCAAAATTTAGAAAGCTTAAAAGGATAGATGGTAAAAGTCTTCCATCTCTGCCTGTCAGTTCCCATTCCCATATTTTGTATATCATTTTACATGTATGCAAACATTGATTGTAAAGATACATTTCTAGAAATGGAATTAAAAGACTATAGAAGTCATGCATTGTAATTTTGGTAGACATTGCCACTAGGATAAAAGGAAATATAAGGAAAGAGATATAGAAACCTCAGTGATTGGAGGGAATCACTGACTAACTACCTCTTGCACACCCCCTAC